ATACATATATATATACACACACACACACACACACACACACACACACACACACACACACACACAAACACCACACACACGGCCTACACACACACAGATTATACATATACACTGTACACACACACACACACACACACAGAGTACACACACACACACACACACACACAGAGTATACACACAAACACCACACACACACACACACACAGTATACACACGAACACCACACACACACACATGCATCACACTCTACTCAAACATACCCACGATACTCTCAAACACGCTTTTCAGTCATATGTGTATTTATATATATATATATATATAAAAGCAAAAAAGACCTCTAACACTAGCTTGCTCTGTTCTTTTTCTATTCTATCTGTTTTCTTTTTATTTATTATATTATTTTGCTACGTGTACTGCGTTAAGCTAACTGAGTATATCATTGCTCTTTTGTTGATTTTGATTGCTTGCTTTGTCCTCATTTGTAAGTTGCTTTGGATAAATGACTAAATGTATATATATGTATATATGTATGTATGTGTGTGTGTATATGTACACATGTACTCACTAAAAAGTATGGATATACACATTTGAACTTGGAAATCAAGTTTTAAGAATTTCATGACACAGAATGAATGATTATTGACTAACCAAAAATGAGTGACTCTCTGTTAAAATATCTTAAAGGGGTCCTATTTTGCTTTTTCACTTTTTCAACTTTAGATAGTCTGTAATGTTGCTGTTTGAGCATAAAAAAGATCTGCAAAGTTACAAAGCTCAAAGTCCACTTCAAAAGGAGATATTTTATTTAACAGAAATCACTTTTCAAAAACTACAACGAACGACTCGTTTGGACTACAACGCATATTTTCCGGGATTTGTGATATCACAAATATCGACGAATGGGACGAGACCTGGTTGAGCTGCACTAGAGAAGGCAACGAGTGTTATCACTATGTCGGAGACACGCTAGCTTTCCCAAGGCAGACGAACTTAAGAGTGGTTACAATTAGGGGTCGCCCTATATGTGTTTTTCAGGGCAGATACCGATTATTACAGTTCAAGTAGACCGATAACCGATATATATGTCTGGTGTCTTTGCGCAGCTCGTCAGTGAACAACGGCTCTGTGTAGTTAATGCTGCTCAATGTGAAAGCCCGCAGGTGATGGAGATTTACCGCCGATTACAGAATCGGCTTTACTGATAAGATGCGCGTTAAATATCGCATGCAATTTATTGTGCAGTCCTAGTTTTAATTTACAGTGTAGTGCAATCAATGGATTAACTTTTTTTTTATTTTTAAACTAAAAATGTATATAATAAGTGTAAATAATTTAATTGCCTTCATAGCTATATTGTAGAAGCTGTTAAGATTAATTGATCTTTTAATCAAATGAGAGTTAAACTCTTTATTTTTTAGCTTTACTATTAAAATCAAAACATGGAAGAAATAGCGTATTGTCTGATTATTCTTTTAAACAAAAGTTGTAATTGTTGTAGTAGTATTATTCATATCATACTGCACCACAGTAATATATTTCTGATAATTTCTTTAAGCTAACCCGAACTTCTATTTTGACTGGTTGTCATGGGGAACTTTTAAGTTTCTGTAGACTATGTAAGTGTTTCCCATACATTGATTTATTTGTGGCGCTACAAATAGATTTTCCAAAAGGCTTTGACTTCATTGAATAAACATGAGCACTGCACGTTTCAAAATTGAACCCCGGTGCGGGTGTTTTTATGTCACTGTATTTCTGAAGGAAACCGACTGTCTTCAGAAGATTTTGGATGTTATTTTCATTTCATCTTGCATGTAATATCTGTTAAAGCAGCATTTGTGAGCGGAGCGCTGCTTTGTGTGCAGCGTTACCAGGGAAAGCTTGATATCTACCACTCCAACAGTGCCTCCTGCTGCCAGAGAATGAATTTGCATATATATACCGCCACAAGTCTGTGGGAAACACTGAGATAGTTTTACTCAAATGAAACCGTCAAATGATCATGAAGTGACTCTCGGAGGGAGTCAGAGCAGCTCTGGAGATGTTGTTCATGTATTTATGTCCTCATGTAGTGAGACGACAGATGCTAAAATCACTGCGAGCGTCGCACACTTTGTGTAGAAAACAAAACTGCGCGTCTGTTCCATTTACATACATAGTCACGCAAAACATGCAGGATTCATATTTAAATTGTATTTTTTGCGGCTTAATATTTACAGATACTAGTCCATATCGTGACTCTATTTAAGTGTACTGACCGACTTTTGATTAATTCATCCAAACTTTGACAAATTCCGTGACATTTCGCGTCATACAGTAAATTCCATTAATATGACTGGATTCCGTCCACATTTTCTGCATCGCGGAAATCATAGATAATATTGAGGTGTTTTGCAACTTAAGTGTAACGTTAGTGGATTGTGATTTATTGCAAATTAAGCAACGTCTGCTGCTGCCTTACCTTTGAGAGACAACTGATGCGTGATCACTGAAGCAGCTGCAGTTAGGAAGCGCTTTCGGAGTGAGAGTGAATATATCTGCATTGATTGGTCAGACTCGTGACTGCCAACAAATCAGATGGGCGGTGGGCTGAGATTGCTTTAGGCCACAGAGGTGAGTTCTGACAGGCTGCATCAGAGCCAAATAGTGCGTTTCAAAATTAAGTTATTTTATCGGCGAATCGGTTTTGAAAAAGACTGATACCGATAATTATAAAAATGCTTGATATCGGCGCCGATAATCGATCGACTCCTAGTTACAATCATCCGGGTTTAAATCGTGCTCAAATTGATTTGATATTGACGCAATATTTACCCTTGAAACTCGCAGCAGGCGGCTATGGTAAGGGGCATGACATTTTCCGACCAGGCGCCGAGTGCTGCCAATACCAGCACACACTGGCCCAGCTAACCAATCACAGCACACACTGGCCCAGCTAACCAATCACAGCACATTTTGTATTTCAGAAGGCAGGCCTTCATTTGATACAGGAACTATTCAATCCTTTCATGCCTATTCGAGCCGTTGATGCCAGACTGGGGAGAGAGGTGTTGTAATAATGTAAAATATGTGAAAAATAATGTGTTTTTCGAACAACCTAGTATGAGAGCCTGTTCTAGTACACCCCCAAATCAAGACTGTAAAAGAGCATAATAGGACCCCTTTAAATCATATTGGAGAATAGTTTTTCAGGTTTGGTTGCTGTAGACATTCTCAAATTCATCTTATCACTTTAATTATGCAGATAAAATAGTATGCAATAAAACTATTTATATTAAATGAGAAAATGCAAAACTGACGCATCTTCCTGAGTGTATGCAGACCCACTGAAGATATACTATACTTGCACATTCACACAGACGGCCCACACGTAAGTCAGATGCTCAGTCACACATCACAGCCTCCTCACACGTTCACACTCTCGTCTGCCTCTATCCCACTAAACCAGATCAGATGGTAAACCTGCCGTCCAGGTGCTCGCCGCGGATTAGCCTGGCCTCAAAAATTAAACGTTTTAAACTGGGTATTTGGTCTGAATGCATTGTCTGTGGATGATAGTTAAGTGTGTTATTTGCTCACTTTGATTCATTCTTCCTAAAACCGTACTAAGAAAGCAGTGATGCTCTTTCCCAGGAGGGCGTGTGTGTTTTGGTGTAGTGCACTCATTTGTCCTCTGTGTTTGTGTGTAGCTCAGGATGGAGTGGCAGCCGGATGAACAGGGTTTACAGCAGGTGCTGCAGCTGTTGAAGGACTCTCAGTCTCCGGATACGGCCACACAGAGAGCCGTTCAAGAGGTGTGCGCACATCCCTTACATCATTACACTAGCATTATGATCAGTTATATGCCTTTAAAGCTTATTTATCCACGTTATCGACAAATATAATGTGAATTTTAGCTGTCTGTGTGGTCAGGTTTTATTTGGTGCACAGTGCAAATAAATCTCAATCTTTTCATCTTTTTGGCACAATATGTTGACTTAATAGTATATACTGCTGTTTTTAAATTCTGGTTCAGTATTAAATTAAATTAAAAACATAGAATTTAATACATTTAAAGTATGAATTTAAACCTTTTATTTGGCAAGGACACATTCAGTTGATCAAAAGTGACAGTAAAGACATTTTTCATGTTCATCAAAGAATCCTGAAAAAAAAAAACTATCACGGTTTCCACAAAAATATGAACTAGCACAACTGTTTTCAACATTGATAATAATCAGAAATGTTTCTTGAGCAGCAGGTCATTATATTAAAATGATTTCTGAAGATCATGTGACACTAAAGAATTCAGCTTTCCATCACCGGAATAAATTACATTTTGCAATATTTTAAAATAGAAAACCATTGTTTTAAATTGTAATAATATTTCACAATATTACTGTTTTTTTTACAACTGTGCTTTTGATTAAATAAGTACAGCCTTGTTGAATAAAAGACTCTTTTCAAAAACATTAAAAAATCTTACTGACCCCAAACATTTGATCGGTAGTTTGTAGATGCTCTAAAAATTCAAGCACCATTTTAACCAAACACCCATTGTTGCCATGCAAATTCAAAATATATAAAATAATATTTAATAATTTCTTTTATATGCACCAATATAACGATTTATATTAATAAACAGCAGTGTTTATCTTCATATTTGTTCCTAAAACTTTAAAACGTAAATGATGATGATCCAGATGATTTGTTGAATCAGGGTCTTGTAAGTGATTTATTGATTAAATCATACAGTAAATAATATTGAACTTCTCCACTCTAATACCATTTTTGCTTTCAAGGTTTAAATCAGAAAAACTACTCGGCCTACTTGCGTAGTTTTAATAGTCTGTTAAAAGTGTATTACTTTTTGTCACCATATTCATGATGAATGTTTATTAATCAAATATTGATTTAGGTATATCTTCCTATTCTAGTGGTAAAGGATTTTAATAAACGTCACTGGTCTGAGATCAGACCTCTTCGTTCTGTGCTGTCTGTTGAATTTATCCTTTGTTTTCATGACTCTCTCATTAGAAACTGGAGCAGCTGAATCAGTTTCCCGACTTCAACAACTATCTCATCTTCGTCCTCACCAGCCTCAAATCTGAAGGTCTGTAATATCCCATCATGCATCGTCTGCCTCAGTGTCACACACACTCTCCTGTCACTCATCTAAAAGCACAACTCTGTGTCTCTGCAGACGAGCCCACCCGTTCTCTGAGCGGTCTGATTCTCAAGAACAACGTGAAGGCTCACTACCAGAACTTCCCTCCGGCCGTGGCCGACTTCATCAAGCGAGAGTGTCTCAACAACATCGGAGACCCGTCCCCGCTCATCCGTGCCACCATCGGTCAGTCTGAACCCGGGTTTTAGTGGGTTAGATTATAGTAGATAAAATAATAGTTGCATTCGGTTTGAAAGGGACAGCAGCCTAATTTAGTTGCTATTGTCTGAGTCATTGATGTTAATCAAGCAACTAAAGAAAGACAGAAAATCACGCACTGCTCTTGACTGAAAAACTTTAGTAGCCCTAAAGATTAATCTAAATTTATTTATAGAAATAAATGTCTGCTTGAAAGAATGAAGAATATGGTAAACAAGTTGCTATAAAGAATGCATAATTAGCCTATATAACCATTGGTATTTCACTAAAAGAAGACCATGTTCTTGTTTTTTATGAGAAGTGGTTTTATTTAATTTTAACAAAGGCATGTTGTTTGTCACCGCAGTTAAATCGGTGTCTATCATGATATAACCTTAATATCAAACCTATATAATGAGTTCGGAAATTTTAGAGAAATGTTCAATAAATGCATTACACTGTAACTAAACCCATTAGAGTTTAGCCGACTAAATTTACTGTAGATTTAGTCGACTACAACTAAAAACAATTCATATGACTAAAACTAAATGGCATTTTAGTCAAAAGACTAGGACCAAAATGTGCTGTCAAAATTAACACTGCAGCTGAGTTAAGTTGTTTTTATTTGATTAGTTGTAATTGGTGTTTTTTCCCTTTTTGAGAGGTATTCATTGTCTTCAAGTGACACAAACAGCTTATTCGGCTTTGCGACCTAGTTGAATTTGGGTCCATGTGTGTCCACAGGTATTCTCATCACTACTATCGCCTCTAAAGGGGAGCTGCAGACATGGCCTGAGCTGCTGCCTCAACTCTGCAACCTCCTCAACTCGGAGGATTACAACACCTGCGAGGTAAAACACACACAACTCTGAGTACGTTTGGAGTGGAATAACATCATAAGACTTTAACTAGGAATGCAATATGTTTACTGTTTTTTACAGTGTTTTCCCAAAATGTGCAATATTCATCCCACAATGCAGTGCACTTGACATGACCTTCTGTTTGAGCAAAACAGTTGCACAAGAATGTGATTTGATTGGCTTGCCAGACTGCATTTTTACACACAATTAAGTTACGTGTTTTCAAGACTATAACAATAATGTAGTAAGTAGACATCAGTTGATATCATACAGATGTGCCATAACAGATTTGAAGAACTGATTTTGTTTTTATAAATAATTTTTAAAAATCTATAACTTTTTTTTATTAGACTACAACATTAAAAAGTAATATGAAATGTTTACTAAATAATAATGGCAGTACTTTGACAGAATTTCATACTCTGTTGTTATGTTGTTTGATTTTGGTGTTTGTGCATACTATGTTTAAAAAAAAAAGTACACCGTAAATATTTGAGATTATGTAAGCTACTTTTTCGAACTAGTCCTAAGTTTTTTGATCAACCTCACTAAAACTAGTAAAGTAGAAGTCTTTGGACTACGTAGATCAATAATTATCCAACAGAAGTTCAACTTTAATGTTTAGATGGCTATAAAATGGTCATTTGAATTATGGGCATGACCAGATATATTCATAATTCCTAAAACAAACATGAAATTATGAATTTAGCACATGTGACATATGATACTAAAGAAGCATGTAAACTTTAATGAAGATTAGGTGATAAGTGCCACTATAAGTTCTACAAATATTCCTCATTTATCAATATACCCATAATGCAGTGGGATTTCAAAGAGAAGTTAGTTATTTTTGCTGATTTGTGTGTGTTCAGGGGTCTTTTGGTGCGCTGCAGAAGATCTGTGAGGACTCGTCTGAACTGCTGGATAGTGACGCTCTGAATCGACCCCTCAACATCATGATCCCCAAATTCCTGCAGTTCTTCAAACACTGCAGCCCCAAGATCAGGTGAAGAAGCACACATATCTCTCTCTGAATGCTGTCTGTGTTTGATAACGAGTAACATCATATTGATTCACTCTCTCTGTACAGGTCTCATGCCATAGCGTGTGTGAATCAGTTCATTATTGGCAGGGCTCAGGCTCTCATGGACAACATCGACACATTCATAGAGGTGAGTTGACCTCCAGCATGTAGTGGTTTCCAATCCACCAAAAAGTGATTCGAAAAGTTATTTCATGCAGTTATTGTAGTTTTATATTTGCAACTGATAGGATGTATCTTTAACGACTTAAGTCTTACTGACCCTACAAATTAGCATTTTTGCTATTGCTTTAATAAATACACAACATAGTGAGAGTTTTCAGCTCATTGAATGAGTGAGTCATCTGAGCTGATTCAATGAGGAAATGAGCTGACCAACTGATTCAGTTCAAACAATACCCCCCCCCCCAAATATAACATCAATTTAGTATTTTAAATTGCACATAATGTGTTGGACTGGTTTTTGTTTTTATATGTAATTCTATATTTATATATACATATACATGCGCACATGCACTTTTAATGATCTGCATTAGATGCAGATTTTATGTACTTCATTGTGTTTGATATAGACTCAGCAGTAAGTGTTTTATAGCTACCTCAACTTCTGAATATCGAACAAAGAATAACACTTCTAAATTGTCAAATCAAGATCGTAGTTCATCCTAGAAAGCACACTTTTTTATCAGCCTAGCACATTGTAAACACTACAATCCAGCTCATGGTGACCCATGAATTTTAGTTATTTCAGTGCTTGTTTCAGTTAATCTGTACTGTGTGCTTTGCTTTCAGTCTCTGTTTGCGTTGGCGGGTGATGAAGACTGCGAGGTGAGGAAGAACGTGTGCAGAGCTCTGGTCATGCTGTTGGAGGTCCGAATTGACCGCCTGATTCCGCACATGCACAGTATCATACAGGTGATACAAACACAAACATCTAATGTTTTACTGTCACTTAAAGGTATTGTAGGAGTTTTAAATCTGGTCTGTGTCTCTCTGCAGTACATGCTGCAGCGCACTCAGGACGCGGATGAGAACGTGGCGCTGGAGGCCTGTGAATTCTGGCTGACTCTGGCCGAGCAGCCCATCTGTAAAGAGGCTCTGTCAGGACACCTGGTCCAGTGAGTACAGCAGGCCATCATCACCACACACACATCTGAGCATAAACTGAACGCACACAAATGAAGCCTCTGTTTAGTTCTGTCTGAGAGATCTGATCTGTAGAAACGTTTTGAGGTGATCTAATTTTAATGTATTTCTCCACAGACTCATCCCCATCCTGGTGAACGGAATGAAGTATTCTGAGATTGACATCATTTTATTGAAGGTGAGTCACCATAAATGTGACCCTGGAGCACAAAACCAGTCTTAAGTCGCTGGGGTATATTTTTAGAAATAGCCAAAAAACATTGAATGGGTCAAAATGATAGATTTTTCTTTTATGCCAAAAACCATTAGGATATTAAGTAAAGATCATGATCCATGAAGATATTTTGTAAATTTCCTGCCGTAACTATATCAAAACTTAATTTTTGATTAGTAGTATGCATTGCTAAGAACTTAATTTGGACAACTTTAAAGGGTTAGTTCACCCAAAAATGAAAATTAGCTTGCTTTACTTACCCTCGACGCATCCTAGGTGTATATGACTTTCTTCTTTCAGACGAATCCAGTCGGAGTTATATTAAAAATGGTCTGTGATCTTTCAAGCTGTTTCATGCCACTCAGCGGGTGTTGCAGTTGAACAGTTCCCAAGTTGTCAAATAAAGCTCACGCATTCATAATAAAACGTGCCGCAGACGGCTCCGGGGGGTGAATAAAGGCCCTTGTAGTGAATCCATGTGTTTTTGTTAGAAAAATATCCATATTTCAAACGTAATAAACACTTTTCTCTCACTTCCGCTGACTGTCTATTATTTAATTTGAGTAATTTTATGTGCTTTTTCATTTTTATTCTATTTTGCTTTTTTATTTCAGTTGTACTAATTTTAGTGCTTCAACTTATATTCAACTAATTTCAGTTAGTTCCCAAGGCAATAATAATTTTGTGCATTTCTCATTTTTATGTAGCTTTATTACAGTTTTAAATGTACAAATTTTAGTGCTTAAAGTTATTTCAGTATCCCAAGGCAATATTAATGTTTTTAATTAAAACATTTTTTTTTTTTAAATATTTGTATTTTAATTTCAGCTTTATTTCAATAACTGAAATTTATTTTTAATAGCTTTAGTTTTAATTGACGCACAAGATTCTCTCTTCTAATGCTGTAAATTATACAGGGAAGTGTTTTGAAGTGATTCAAATCAGCAACTCATCATTTCTAACTATTCATTCAAAGAACCAGCAAATTTTCAGGATTTGGGCTACATTGGCTGCGCTGTGTGCTTTTGATTCACTAGAACCGTTCATGTGAGTCAAAAGAGTCATTTGTTTGTGCATCAGACTACACTGGTTGTGTTGTTTGTTTTTGCATGCCACCTAAGAAGAAAAATTCAATCTAAAGAGGTTTCTAGATCTACAAAATTGGGATTTTAGGAACTGATTTCTGAGAAATTTCAGAAAATGAATCGTCACCCAGCCCTACTGATTTATCAGCAGCGAGCGCTGTGTAATCCTCTACGACGCCATCGGCACCCTGGCAGACTCCGTCGGACATCATCTGAACCAACCGGTAATTAGAGTTTCTGCCCCTCAGTGAAGCTATTTATTTATTTACTAAAATGTGCCTTTTTGCAAACTGTCACTTGAAACCAATTTTCAGTTTTCATACACTACCGAGATTTTATTTTTTTAGTGCTTTTTGGGAGAAGCCTCTTATGCTCATGAAAACTGCATTTATTTGATAAAAAACACCTTAAGAAAACCGTCATGTTGTGAAATGTTACACTTAAAAATTACTGTTTTCTATGCCAGTATATTTTAAGAGTAGTTTATTCCTGTGCTCAAAGCTGAATTTGCAGCATCATTACTCCAGTCTTCAGTGTCACGTGATCCTTCAGAAATCATGCTAATATGCTGATTTGCTGCTCAAGACACATTTCTGATTATTATCAATGTTGAAAACAGTAGTGCTGCTTCATATTACTGTGGAAACCTTGATACAATTTATTTAATTTTTTTAATTTTTTGATGTATAGAAAGCTCAAAAGGGCGGCATTCATTTGAAATAGAAACCTTTACAACAGTTCGTTGTTCTAATTTTTCTAAATAAAACTTAGATGTAGATGTAAGTAGGGCAACTCAAAAGATCAGATGCCATATTTTTTTGTACAAATAGATGCCAAAATGATGAAAATCATCTTCAATTATCTGTCTTTTTTTTTTTTAAGACAATAAATAACACAAATGTTTTTGGTTCGATCCGCCTCTGCTCACCCCTGCCCTTGTCAGCTTGTTTTAAAAAGCTAAATATTATTAGTACGTGGTTGTGGGCGTAGAGATCAGTGGTCTGATCTTGTGTTGTGTTGTGTATGTGAACAGGAATACATCCAGAAACTGATGCCTCCTCTGATCCAGAAGTGGAATGAACTGAAAGACGAGGATAAAGACCTGTTTCCTCTACTGGAGGTGAGACACTCAAAACAAAGTGAAGAAAGACTTTATATTTGAATGCACTTTACTGTCATGTTATTTTGCCAAAACATTTGTAATTGAAAGTGAAAATGGACAGTAAATGACTCTCATCCATTCTGTGTATGTGTGTGTAGTGTTTGTCGTCTGTGGCTACGGCGTTACAGAGCGGTTTCCTCCCGTACTGTGAGCCCGTCTATCAGCGGTGTGTTACTCTGGTGCAGAAAACACTCGCACAAGCCATGGTGAAAACACACACTTACTCACACACACTCTTCTACATGAACATCAGTGGACCACACAGTCATTAACCCACCCGTGTGTGTGTGTGTGTGTGTGTGTGTAGATGTACAGCCAGCAGCCGGATCAGTATGAGGCTCCAGATAAGGACTTCATGATAGTCGCTCTGGATCTGCTCAGCGGTCTGGCCGAAGGTCTCGGGGGTCATGTGGACCAACTGGTTGCCCGCAGCAACATTATGACCCTTCTGTTCCAGTGTATGCAGGTACAGTGTGTGAAAGAGTTTAAAAATGTGATGTTCTTATCAATATTATTTGAATTATTTACAGTGTCAAATTAATATTTGATCTAAAAATGTTTATAATTGAATTTAATATTGTTGGTGTTATGTTAATATTATTTTAATAGTCATTTATTATTTTAAATATTTTTTTATTTGATTATTTATTTACTGTATTTATAAAATACGTTTTAATATTAAAGTTATTTTTATATTTTAATTATTTAATTATTAAATATAATATATCATATTTAATATATTATACATTTGTTTTTTATATTGTTGTTGTAATTGTTAATATTTTATATTTTTATTATTTGAATTAACTATCATTATAAAATTAATTTACTATTATTATATAAAATACATTTATAAACATTATAAAATAAATTTTAATATTTAAAGGGATAGTTCACCCTGTGATTTACTTACCCTCAAGCCATCCTAGGTGTAAATGACTTTCTTCTTACAGACGAATGCAATCAGAGTTATATTAAAAAATGTCCTGGCTCTTCCAAGCTTTATAAAGGCACTAAACTGTCCCTTAATTTATTTATATATATATATATATATATTTGTTTTTTGCTTAAAACATTTGCAATATTATAGTAATATTTGTTTCTTTTCTTTTCTTTATTTTAATATTTAATTAAATATTTTAAGTATTTAATTTTATTATCTGTTGTTGTATTATAAGACATTTAGGCTGATTAATTGATATGAATGCAAATTGATAGTGATACTCTCTTAAATGCAGGACACTATGCCTGAGGTGAGGCAGAGCTCATTTGCTTTGCTGGGTGATCTGACCAAGGCCTGTTTTCCACACGTCAAACCCTGCATCGGTAAGACGATGTGTGCGTTTGACCTGCATTATACACCCTTAACTTATTCATATGTATTAATCTCTGAAACTGTGTGTGTGTGTTCAGCTGAGTTCATGCCGATCCTGGGGACGAATCTGAACCCCGAGTTCATCTCAGTGTGTAACAACGCAACCTGGGCCATCGGAGAGATCTGCATGCAGATGGGTGAGCATCATCTCACTGATTCTGTGTCAGTTACATCATGACACGAATTGGGATTTAGAATGACATCATAGATTTAGAACCATAGAATGTGATGGTTCTTTGTTTGACATCGTTGGAGGGAGTTGAATTATCTATCATCAGTAAGGTGATCGTTATTGGTCATGTGTTGTTGTAGGTGTGGAGATGCAGCCGTATGTTGCTCTGGTTCTTCCTCATCTGGTGGAGATTATTAACAGACCCAACACTCCCAAAACCCTGCTGGAGAACACGGGTACAACCTCTGACCGCACATGATCACTTACATTTCACACAGATAAGTAATCAAAACTTGACTCCTCCCACTTCTCTTTACAGCCATCACGATTGGTCGCCTGGGTTACGTCTGTCCACAGGAAGTGGCTCCCATGTTGCAACAGTTCATCAGACCCTGGTGAGTCAACATTTCAAACAAGCATATTAGAATGATTTCTGAAGGATCGTGTGACACTGAAGACTGGAGTAATGATGCTGAAAATCCAGCTTTGCATCACAGGAATGAATTACATGTTAAATATATATTTAAATCAGTTCATAGTATATAGGAGACTTATTTCAAAAATGTATTACTGACACCAAACTTTTGTCAGTAAGTTCGTTTGATTTAAGAATTGCATTATTTCCATTTTCAGCTAATGCTTTTTTAAAGACAGGCTTAATTAATGATAATGATTTTTCTCTTTGTAGGTGCACATCGTTACGAAACATCAGAGATAATGAAGAAAAGGACTCGGCCTTCAGAGGCATCTGTGTGATGATTGGTGTGAACCCTGGCGGTGTGGTCCAGGTCAGTTCTGATATTCTGACTCCGTTGTGATTGACCATGATGTTACTCTCTCCTCCATCACTCATTTCCTTTCACCCGTCTCTCCCTCAGGACTTCATCTTCTTCTGTGATGCAGTGGCCTCCTGGGTCAGCCCTAAAGATGACCTGAGGGACATGTTCTGCAAGGTTAGACACACATCACGTTGTGCCTTTATAGCGGTGAAATGTTGTTCATGTTGTTGAATGAGGCTGTCTCTCTGTGTAGATCCTACATGGGTTTAAGGACCAGGTCGGAGAGGAGAACTGGCAGCAGTTCTCGGAGCAGTTTCCGCCAATCCTGAAGGAACGCCTCTCTGCATGCTATGGCGTGTAACCCCACCCCTCTGCTTCACACACAGCACATGCTGTCAGGTTAGTGACGACTGCTGATGTCTAGTGATGCCATCGTGTGCTGGCACAAACAAACACTGTGCTAGGTTTTTGTTGCTGGTAGGCGTTTCTACTCAACTGCAGTATATGCCAGATAATCTGTGCTCAGCTGCCTGCACTTCCTTTGACAGTCATACATTACTGTTTATTTGCATTAAATTGAACTCTGATCAAGTCTGCCATAGAGATTGACTTTTTTTAAATAAATAATTTTTTTGAATGTTTTACTTCTGCTTTTTGACAATTATTTTCTGGCTACAAAATAAAAAGGTATTATAAATAGTATCATAAAACAATATTAATTTATATAATATTCATTAATGTAAAATTTACTATAAATATTTTAAAAATAATAACACTATGCATGTGGTTTTATTTTTTTTGCATCTAACTGGTTTTTAAATCTAAATTGTCCCAAATTAATTTTCATATTTGTTTTGGGCTTAGTCGAAGTGTTACTCTTAATGCTGTGTATTTTCAAATGAATAATGTAAACGTAAAGTAGACGTAACATTAAAAGTAATTTCAACATACAATTGTTTTACAAACCAAATTGTTGGTTATTGGTAAGATGTGCTGTTAAAGAACCGCTAACAGTTTAAGTGTAGTAGATTATGATTATGTCAGATAATATCAGCATCTAAAATTTAAATGATAAAACAGATTCAATATTAAAAGTTTGAAAATCGATTAAATTACTGGTCTGTTGCATCATTGACAGTTGTTGCTTATATAGCCGTTATTTTTTCTTATAAAAGATCAAGTATGAAAGTGTTTGTTTGTAAAAAAAATAATGATGTGCTGTTAAAGAACCGCTAACAGTTTAAGTGTAGTAGATTATGATTATGTCAGATAATATCAGCATCTAAAATTTAAATGATAAAACAGATTCAATATTAAAAGTTTGAAAATCGATTAAATTACTGGTCCAACAAATTACTGGTCTGTTGCATCATTGACAGTTGTTGCTTATATAGCCGTTATTTTTTCTTATAAAAGATCAAGTATGAAAGTGTTTGTTTGTAAAAATAAATAAATAAATAAATTATCGGTCAAACTGATAATAGATTACATAAAAATTTAAATATCGGCAAAACTGAAGTTATTGGTCAAACAGATTACTGGTCTGTAGCGTTATTGATGGTTGCTGCTTATGTTGCCTTTATTCGCCCACAGTCAATCATGGGATATTAAAGAACTTCTAAAAGATTAGGTATGAAAGTATTTGTTAAAAAGGAAATTTATCTATAACCGATTAAATAAATGTGAATATCGGTGAAAAAATGGGTTGGTCAAACAGATGACTGGTCTGTCGCCTCATTGTTCGGTGCTGCTTATGTGGCCTATATTTTCCCAGTCACTTAGGGGATATTAAAGAATGTATAAAAGATTAGGTACATAAGTAATAATCTGTGAAAAGAAAGAAACTAATTGGAAAAATGGTTGAATCTAATTTGCTCTTATTTTTCTCTCTCTCTCTTTTTCAGTTGAACCTTTAGGAGGGGGGAACTCATCCATCTGTGTATTGCACTGCCCTGATCGTGGGGGAGAGGGACGCGATTGGCCGCTCCGCCTGACGGACAGATCCCACGCCCTTTGTGTGTCCATGAGGGTGGGTGGGTGGGTGGGTGGGAGGGGGGAGGGGACTCCTCTAGTTAACTACAGAATGCACCCAATCACGGGGAATAAACCTAAAAACGTAGGGAAGACGAGAGAATAGTGTAACCGAGGGAGAGCGAAAAACAAAGTTTAAGAGAGCGGGAGGGAGGTCGTAGGTTAAACGGGAGGGAGGTATAGACAGTTATCTGGGAATAAAGATTAAGATTAGGGAGGGAAGCTAGACATCAACTGTTATACGACTTTTTTTAATCTCAAGTTATCCCAGGCATAAGAATCAAATGCATTCACACGCAGACTGACCATAGAGACACTTGCACATAAAGTTGCAATAACTACGAGCGGCCAGCGCTGCCGTAGCAATAGCATAATCAGCCTTTAACACTGAGACTCTCTAGGAAAGACTAGCGTCGTTTTTTCTTTTTTTAATAATTAGTATTGATGAAACGACAACAATCTCATCTTTAAAAAAAGATGGTTAGCGCGCTATCGCGAATTTGTGTTTTTGATCATTAGTAAGGGAGCATCTATGAATTCACAGTTTTCATCATCATCATCATCATCATCATCGGCTTTGTCGTCGTTCTGTCCGATTGTCGTCACGATTCTCTGCTTGCGTCTCTTATGCCGTATCGTTTATTTTCCAACGTTTCTTCTCACTTTTTTGCGTAGTTGGCTTGTAGTTTTTTTCCTGGGCTTGGTCAGTGTTCGCTGTTGAAACTCATCCTAGTTTACAGATTTCAATCACACCGTAGTTTAATCTTGTCATGATTTCGAGAGATTCGGTCTCGTTGCGAGGGAGCTGGAACGGAAACTCCACAGTATAACGATCATGACTTGCGTTATGTATGTGTTCGGTCGTGTGTGTGTGTGTGTGTGTGATTTGTGTAACGGTAGTTGTGTTGGGAGCTTTTAAGTGTGTTTTGTTAGTGTCATTGCTATGTTTTTTTTTTTCGTAATTCACATTTCATGTGTGTATTCTGCGTTAATAGGTTAAATTGTTTTAAGGTACCTTACACTTGACTCCTGGACCCCTATTGACCTGTAAACTGTGACCAACGATGTGCGCGTGCGCTTGTGAGTGTGTGTATGAATGTATTTGTACTGATAAATATTAATGCCATATTGATATTTAGTGATTTAATCAGCTTATCCAACAAACTACAACTATATCAAATAGTTTTACAACAAGGTTCATTTTTGAGTTTTGCTGCTATTGCTAATTTTGGTTACTTAAATAGAACCAAATTCACAACATTTACATGCTATTGGAGCAAAATGCGTAATTTAAATTTGGATTTTCGCTAGTCATGCACTTTTTTTTGTTTTGCTATTTTTATGATTTTTGTTTTGTAAGGACGTTGCTTGTACATTTACTGATAAAACTGTTGGATTCATCATGCGTCTTGTTTTTTCTTGAGACTATTTGTTGGTTGGACGATTTGAAATAATAGCGAGCTGAAAGCAAAGACAGGAAGTGACGGTTAGTGTCGGACGATTGCTGCGTGTGGAAATCTGCTGAGACTGAAAGAAAAACAATCCCACCTTTCTCTCTTTACCATGCCAGGAAAAATAAAACGATTTTTTACAAAGCTGAACAAGTTTTTTTGTGTTTTCTTGATTTTTAAAAAAAAAAAAATTTTTATTATAAAAGAGTTTTCAAGACAAACTTAAAAACTACAACCAAAATTGGAGTGTTGTGCCTTTTAATGATAGTTCGTCGTGGCCTAATGGTCAGAGTCGGACTCGTAACCCAAAGGTTGCGGGTTCAAGTCTCGTACCGGCAGGGATTGTAGGTGGGGGGAGTGAATGTACAGCGCTCTCTCCCACCTTCAATACCACGACTGAGGTGCCCTTGAGCAAGGCACCGAACCCCCAACTGCTCCCCGGGCGCCGCAGCATAAATGGCTGCCCACTGCTCCGGGTGTGTGTTCACGGTGTGTGTGTGTGTGTGTGTGTGTTCACTGCTGTGTGTGTGCACTTTGGATGGGATAAATGCAGAGCCTGCTCCGGGTGTGTGTTCACAGTGTGTGTGTGTGTGTTCACTGCTGTGTGTGTGCACTTTGGATGGGATAAATGCAGAGCACTAATTCCGAGTATGGGTCACCATACTTGGCCACATGTCACGTCACTACTTCTTATCAGTATGCTAGTGTACATCTAAGCATCTTTAGCACTTCTCATTCTAAAGAACACCATTCAATCATCAGTTTCTGTCAAATGTACTCTATAAACGAGAATGTCCCACTCCTTGAATAAATTGCTTTTTGATGGTTAATCAGACCTGTGTGGTGTCCCTGTTAAGGATTTAGTTGGATAGATGGTGGCTTGAATAGTCAAGGACACAACAGCTAGACATTTTCAATGGAAATTTTTGGGATATTGATCATCAGTTGTGGGAAAACCATAAGCAACACCCATCAGAACAGGCTGAAGGTCTGTGCCAGGCAGGGATTCCAGTTTTCCACAACAAAACTAGCCCAATTGCATTTTGAGGGGGGCTCCAGGGGGTAAAATACATGTTTTTGGTGGGGTTCCCCTGGTAAAAGTCACACTCCAGGGGCTAAATATCACGTTATCGGGGTCGCTTTAATCTGCAGACATGAAAAACAACCCGCAGCAACAGTGATAAAGTAGGGGGAACCGCAAACTTGGCAACACTGGTCTGTGCCAAACATTTTTGGATTAGAGTTCAGGATTTAAAAAAATCCCCTGGCCATAATGAATTCCAGCAAACTCTAGTGATTCAGAAGACATGCATCTGCCTTGAAGCATCTAAATAGGTCCAGGTTGTCTGTGCTACTCAGAATCAAATGCTTCTCTTGTCATTTGTTGTCCTGATGAATATTGTTTTTATCAGCAGTTTCACATATAAAATGCAGATTACAGCATTAAGTTCCTGTACTTCAATGTCTCTGTCCAGATCTCTTGTCTTTCTGTAAGAAATATGACATGATCTTGACAGGACATCAGTCACTCACTTATGCAAACAAGCTGTAATAATGACGATAATTTACAGCAGAGACTCCCCTTTCAAAACATAATCCAGAATTGGACCAATTTGAGCATCTTAAAGTCTGTAACGGTGCTGTTCACTTGTCATCAGACATACTGATCACAGACTGTGTTTTAATAGTCTCTGAGATGATGACCCAGCTTTATGTGTGTGTGTGTGTGTGTGTGTGTGTAACAGCTGCAACTGTCTCACTGCATAACCTCAGATGCTACAAACCCACATACAGGAAACACACAAGCAATGACAGGAAGTTTGGTTCAACGCATCTATTATATTTACTGTGCAATCACGCAAGACTAACAAAGATATTCAAACAGTATCAGGAACTACTGAACTCTCAGTACGCTTATTTGTGTGTAAAACCTGTTTAGTTGTTTTCACACTGAAATCATGTTTCATCAGGTTTACATGTGAATTTGCATTGCAAGTTTAGGGTTAAAAACAAACTCAAGCACAACATGTCACAGACTCCTGGTGGCCTTTTCAGTGAGTTTGAGCTTTAACCCAGAGTTTGTTTTGCTGGAGAGTGTGGCTTGCCGTGAGAGCTGAGATCAAGTGTGTGTGTGTGCAGTGAGAGAAGGTGGGATGTTAAAGTGTGTGTGGTGTGACTGTAGGCGTTATTAAAGTGAAACACAGGAGGACTGGAACTAAACCAAATGAAAAAGAGGAAGAAACTCGCATGCAAGAGAAACATCAGAGCCATTAAGAACAGTGATGTGTGTGTGTGTGTGTGTGTGTGTACTGGTTTATATATCCTGGTGGGGACTTAAACCTGACTACACACAGACTCATGGGGACTCGTGTCACGGTGGGGGCCTATATTGTGGTCCCCACGGGTACAAAAGCTTATAAATCATACAGAATTAGTTTTTTTGAAAATCTAAAAATGCAGAAAGTCTCCTGTAAGGGGTAGGGTTGGTGTAGGGCAATAGAATATAGGGTCTGTACAGTAGAAAAAAACATTACGCCTATGGAGAGACCCCACAAGGATAGCGGACCAGACTGTGTGTGTGTGTGTGTGTGTGTGTGTGAGTGTGTGTGTGTGAGAGTACTATCATACACAAAACACTTGGTTAAACTTTTTGAAATAAATAGTTCACCTAATTTACCTTATATTTAATGTAATTAATTAGCTGAGTTGACCATGAACATTCCCGAAGACATTCCTCTGAAAGTGCCTGAAATGTTTTGTCATATTTTACCAAGGTTTTTTTTTTTAATCTCTCTCCCTAAATATGGATAAAACATTTAATAACAAAATAAAATTTGATTTAGTTAACTGATATTTAGCAGTCATCCCTCACACGAGTCGAGTCGCGAATCGGTTCACCTGAAGAACGATTCATTCGCTCTCTAATCTCTCTGTATCCGCATTATATTATGGGCAGTGTTGTTCCTAACTTGAGTTTGTACAGTACTGGCTGACAACAGGTGAGGAGTTTTCTGAACCGTCTTTAATGAGAGGGAGCTGAACTCACATGTGCTGCAATCCTGTAAAACTCCTTTAAAATGGAAGTGGAGGAGAACTGGAGGATTAAGAGATCATAGAAGATGGGAAAGAATCCAGATACTCACTTTACTGAGATGAGCAGAGGAAGAGGGTTTCATTTATCTAAAACACAATGAACCCATGACTATTGGGAAATGTCTATCTCTTTGCATATATAACTGATAAAAGATACATCCTAATGTTCTGCTGGTCTCGTGCAGCTGCATTGGTCTCACCTGTTGTGCGCCGCAGCGCCAGTGTGTCTCTAGCGGCCGACAGAAGAACTGCAGCCGTCAGAGAGACCGTCGAGTTGCACCGTGTCAGCATCAGACTTTATGACAACTTCAGTCTAAAATACTCTTGTTTATTTCGGTTTATACGTGTGTGAGGGCGAGCCCAGTACATGAGAAAATGGATATACATAAGATGAGGGCGACAAGAACAATTTATATACATTAATGAGACTTAAAATAATAATACATGCCTCAGATGTAAATATATTAGGGCTTTTCTGTAATCAGTTACACTGTTGTATTACTTTACGTTTTCAGAATACATAATTATATAACGTTATTAATTATTAATACATATAGCTATATTTCTGTATGTGTTAGTGTTTTTTTTTTTTTAAAGATATTGTTTTACTTTTGATTTTATAATCCACACAAAGATTGAGGTCAAAAACAGTTGAGGTTCACTGACTGGTTAATATTGATCTAAAATATGTCTGTAAAATATAATATAATGTCTGTAAATACTCTGTGTGATATAATGAACCATCAATATCATGTAGAAATGTTAAACCAGCATTTATGAGAACATGGTAAGAAAATAAACACATAAATATTCCTTCAGTGTTAAAGAAAACGGTCATTAGCCAGTATGCTCATTCTAGAGATCACCCGATTGGACAAAAATCTGTGTGGTGCAGGATGATGTCATCGATATTTTTTATCCGTTTTCCTGGAAGAGAAAAGCTGCGTCCCAAATGAGGCACTATGCACTCATGCACTGTGCGCTAAACCATGGAGTGTATGAATTATATAAGGTTCTTTTGTAATTCATAATCGGAGTCTGATAGCTCCTCCCCCTTCGCTACATAATTAAAGCTGCGACAGTTGAGTGCATGAAGTGTCCAACACCCCACACTTCCGCTGCGTCCGAAATCGCATGCTTCCCTACTATATAGTAGGCGAAAAACAGTATGTGAGGTGAGTATGTCTGAATTCATAGTATTCGAAAAACAGTAAGCGGAAAGTACCTGGATCAGCTACTACTAGCCACAGGAGAGCATGGAAGTGAAGCGATGCAACTGACACTGGAAGATCATGTGACAGTAACAACAAGGCGGATGTAGCACATACGAATTTCATTCATACTACCCATATTCATATTATGGGCGAATTCCAAACGGAAGTGAGCATCCCTAGGCCCTACTCCCTTTGAAAACAGTTGAGTGCATGAAGTGTCCAACACCCCACACTTCCGCTGCGTCCGAAATCGCATGCTTCCCTACTATATAGTAGGCGAAAAACAGTATGTGAGGTGAGTATGTCTGAATTCATAGTATTCGAAAAACAGTAAGCGGAAAGTACCTGGATCAGCTACTTTCTTCACTATCCCATGAGGCCACAGGAGAGCATGGAAGTGAAGCGATGCAACTGACACTGGAAGATCATGTGACAGTAACAACAAGGCGGATGTAGCACATACGAATTTCATTCATACTACCCATATTCATATTATGGGCGAATTCCAAACGGAAGTGAGCATCCCTAGGCCCTACTCCCTTTGAAAAGCAGAGCCCTTGAAGTGTGTTCTTTGAAGGGTGCAGGGCATTACTGTCTCCTATAAGCGTTTTGAACTACCTTAACAAAGGGACTGACTGACCAAATGTTACTTTGAATTTTTTTTTATTATTTTATTCAAATATTGTCAAATTGTGTCTTATTAAACTTAATTTAATTAAACTTAAAATTAAACTTTTACAAACTAAATTTGCTTACACTACCGTCTTAAATCATTTTTCTATCTCTGACGAAAAATATTTTGTATTACATTAAACTAGACAAATGTAATTATAGAACGTCCTCTTTTAACGGCTAAAGTAGGCTAAATTCAAATTCAAATGTAGTACCTACTCAGTACGCAATTTCGGACGCAGAGTTTGTTTTTTCGGTTAAGTGCATTTCACTTGCACTTTTTATACTACAAAATGTCATAGAATAGTGCACAAGTACGCGATTTGAGACGCACCTCAAGATTATAGAGTTTAATTGTAGCTATGTCTGCTAATAGTGAATGTTGTGAGGATTTAGGAGTATATTAGCTAGGGCTGGGCGACAGCTGTGTCTGTCTGATAATAGAGTTTGGGGTGTGTAGGTTCCTGTAGGCAGTGAAACACAAACTGATGTAACGCCATTTAGTCATTTTGCAGACTCTTTTATCCAAAGCGACTTACAATTGGGGAATATATAAAGCGATCCAGGTATTGTTCAAATAAGTACAAGCTAGGAAGGAAAAAAATCATTTTTTTTTTCACAGACGCATGTGAAAGTCTGTGAGGCGTCCTGACGTTCATCTAGGAGGAAGTGTGTTTTTATCTGAAATAATAAAAGGTTTGTCACTGACTTTCTAATAAAGCAGACAAGCATGCAGAGCACCATAACCACTTCATCATTACACTTCTGAGGAATCGTATTCATAAAGTGCCACATCTAAAATCCATATAATAATGATGAAATAATGCTCTCGGATTTAATCATAAATATCCTCATTTGAGTTCTGAAGATGAGATGAGGGTGAGTAATTAATTACAGGATTTTCAATTTTCATTTTTGGGTGAACTATCTCTTTAACTATATTAATTCCTGAATTTAATACTTGACTATAAACAAGTGTTTTGCTAATGATATTCAAATGCATTCAGAGACAGTGAATTGAACACTGTTTGTCAGTCATAATTACTGATCTGTCTGTGATAATTACAGAAAACGGATGCAACTTAAATCCATTAGGACGGATTTGCTGTCTCTGACGATCACGGCATCACACAAGCAAGCAAACTCTCTGCTCTAAAACAGGATCCTCCCATCAAGGAGTGGATGAACCAGGCGTTTCTCTTCATTTACGTAATCTGCCTCTCTCCAGAAGTCTAATTTAATCTAATCCAGTGCTGCTAATCTGGGCTAATCGAGTCTCGTGTAATCCCGTCCGATCACCTCGATGAGCCGGTCTCTCGGCCTCAGTCCCGCGTCCTCCGCCGGAGAGTCGGGGTCCACCGAGCGGACGAACTGACCCACGCGGGACTTTCTGCAGTGCAGGTTGAAGCCGTAGCCCTGCTCGCCTATGGTCATGTGACACAAGCGCGGACGCAGGTCCTTCGTTACCACATCCACCTCCGAAAGCGTCTCCTCCTGGAGAGAGAAAAGGAACGCAAGAACAGTAATGAACTTAACGTTTAGGTCAACAAAACAGGAAAACGGACTCTTTTAGCTCCAACATTAGATAATGAGTCCATTTAAAGGGATAGTTCACCCTAAAATTCTGTAATCATTTACTCACCCTCAAGTTGCATGAAACCTGTATGAGTTTCTTTCTTGTATTAAACACAATAGAAGATATTTTGAAGAATGTTGGTAACCAAACAGTTGCTGGTAGCCACTGACTTACAGAAGTCAACTGTTTGGTTAAAACAAACACATTTTTGGGTGAACTATCTCTTTAATTTCCAGAGTGAGATAATACAGGGAAAGCATTTGCTACAGGTTTTGTCTCGATGTGCAACATATTCTGTATATTTACTCAATAAAATAATCCATATTTATTACTTTAGACAAACAGAAATTCTCATCAAACAGTCTTTACAGATACATTTTTCTCAATTTATCTAGTGTTTTCTGTATGAAAATCCACAGAGGCGGCTGCGCCAGTAATATTTTTTTAATATTTATTTTTTGTTTGCATAAAAATTGCAATTGATCGTTCTACATGTTGGTCAGATGATCCACTTCCTGTCTAAGTGGGCAGGTCTTGGCCAGAATTAGATGCATTATGGGTCAGACTTCATTCAATTTAGTCAAAGGTCCAGATGCGCTAGTATTTATTAACAAATAATTAATAATAAGAAACAAGTTTGACATTACAAGCATTGCCAGCACAGCCATTCAAATACTAAGTTAATGCAATTACAAACACTTTATATGTCAAACAGTTGTGGTTATTTTTATAATTAGTTTTTATAAGTAAAAACGTATCAGTCGCAAAATTATTATTATTTTTTAAATTTAGTTACAAATATTTAATTGTAAAACTATCTTCCATTACATGTTTTTTATGCGATCATTTAGACTCATTTATCACTAAAATATACAGTTGCATTTATGTTTTATAATTAATTTGGAAAATGTATTTGCCTTCAGTTCACAGCAATTCACTTGAAAAGTTGTTTTTTTACTTAATCTTAAACATTTAATGGTAAAACTGTCTTCTAACACAAAATTAGTAAGCATTTGAATTTGTAGGTTCATTTATCTCACTTAACTGTAGTTATTTTTTATAATTAGTTTTGACAATTAATTTGCCTTCAGTTGTGTACACAAGAAGTCACTAGCAAAAACATTTTTTTTTTAATTAGAAATAATTTTTGGTATAACTGTCTCCCAGTGCATTACAAAATATTTATACATTGGTTTAGTAATTTATTAATTCAAATTTTCATTAATTTATAATTTAATAATTAATTTCACTAAAATTAATAAATGAGCCTTTTTTAAATTACAATGCATAAACAACTTTCTGATACTCAAAGTAAAAATATTAATATGCAAAACTGCATTTCATTAATATTACAAATATTTTATTTTTAACTATGTTGAGGTGTTGCATTCTCAGTGTTGCCACAAGGACATCAATATTAACCATATGTTTTCTTCTTCTACAGCCAGTTTTCTCATTCAGGTCAATTAGTGCTTTAATAATGACACATCTGGTTTAATGACACAGATGGCTGAAGAAAACTATCACCCACTTAAGTACTTGTTGCAGCCAACAAATATACACATTCAACAAGACTGCATTCCTGCACCTTTATCAGGCATTCACGTCTGCATTTACTCAAAGTTTCTGGCCAAAGAGAGAGGAACAAACGGTCCTGTCTGATATCATATGCTGTATTATATGATATATGCACGAGCCTGGGCCGTGCAGAAGGACAGTGTGAGCATGTGTGCGTGACCATTGGCTCATTTCCTTCAAGAAGTGAAACACGCCCAGCAGGAATAAGGGACATTCTGTGAGACACCATGTCACTTCCTGTTCTAAGACAATACAAGGGTGGTGTCTGTTTGTGTCCCATGGGGTAGAGTGACTGAAGAACCTCGCCTTACACACACATGTGCTTTAGCTCCTGAGGCTGAGACGCCGCTTAATCTAATCCAGCACACACACACACAAACAACACTCTCACTGAATTCTGGGAAAATACCCAGAAATCAGACACCCAGGACCAGAGAGTGGGAACAAAAAGCAGGTACATGAGAATTAAGGTCATACAGAGAGAGAGAGAGAGAGAGAAGATGAGGACAGTGAATGAAAGAAGAGAGACAGATGCAAATGTAGTTTCACTTAAAGGGATCAGATATATTTTTTTATAGCATTTGATTTGCAAGATTCACCTGCACTGCAAAACGTGCTTTAACAAGCTTTTTTTTTTTTTTTTACCTCATTTTCATGTTAATGAAGCACATAATTCCCAGTGTATAATGTAAGTTAAGGTTTCTTGTGCAAAAAAAACAAAACAAAACAGTTTGTAAGTAATTAAGGCTGATAAACAGGCTGATTTTGCTACTGTACCTTTAAGGCTTCCAAATATAGTTTACCTACTATATACACTACCATTCAAGAGTTTGGGGTCAGTAAGATATGATTTATTTTTGGTTATTAAATATTATTATTATTTTTATTTATAATATATATATATATATATTTTTTATAAATTAAAAAAATTAAAAAGAATACTTTCATTCCAGCAAGGGTGCATTAAATTGATTAAAAGTGACAGTAAAGACATTTATAATGTTATCAAATATTTATATTTCAAATAAATGCTGTTCTTTTGAACTTTATATTCATCAAAGAATCCTGGAAAATAAAATGTATCACATTTCCACAAAAATATGAAGCAGCACAACACTGATAATAATAAGAAATGTTTCCTGAGCAGCAAATCAGCGTATTAGAATGATTTCAGAAGCATCGTGTGACACTGAAAACATATTCAAATATAGCCAAATGAAAAACAGTTCTTTTAAATTATAATAAAATTTCAAAATATTACTGTTTTTACTGTATTATCAAATAAATGCAGCCTGAGCAGTAGAGACTTCTTTCAAAAATATTAGTACTGTACCTTTAAGGCAGAACTCTGTGATGATTGGCTGACCTCTTTACATGGGAATTAATGTACTATCTCTAAACTCGTAGATATGTGAAAGCATTATTTAAAATGTCTATACATTTATATTGTATGCATCAGAGTCTATTCAAACTAACTGCACTTTAAAATACAAATACGTACCAATACTAACACTAATTGTGTTACAGGTTTGCAGGTCCTTCAGTTTCAATCCGCACCATATAATCAGCTCCATCATGAAGACCCTGCTGCTGAAACTCACCTGTGTGCTGGTCTCTGATACGCTGAGGTCAGTGCTGAGGTCAGGCACCGGTTCAGGCTCGGGTGTGACGCTGGACTCCACAGTGAGTTTGGTGAAGGGCTCAGGCTCCGGTTCAGTCTTGTGTTCACCGGGTGACGACAGAGGCAGAAACACGGGTGACGCCAGACGGGCATGAGCTCTGTAGAGTGGAGAGCCATTCATTACTCCTCCGGCGCTGCTGGGACTCTACGAGAAGACAGTAAAGCAGACATTCAGCTGAATATTTCATCCTCCACAATGAACCTGAACGTCAGTGGTCGGTGTTTCTGCTTCAGCGGTCCAGCGTGTGAATGTCACTATTGTTTGTGTTGTGTTCGTGGTCATATGCCGGTGTTTGGGGAAGCTGCTTTGAAACGGTTGTTTGCCAAGAAACAACCTACTCATAATTGAAATAAGTGAGACCACAGTCAAACTAGCCTTCTGTTCGGCCTCGATAGAAGTTATCACTCATTACACTGGTGCAATAATCATAAAGATTTAAATACAATTATAAAATCAAATTAAATCAATAAACCACAAGAAGCTGTCTGTTACAGTGATTTTGCTACAAGCAATGGGTGTTTTTGAAACTCCCTTAACTGGCTTCTTGCTTTTATATAATGACAACAACAGCAATATAATAAAAACAGTTACATCAATACAGTAGAACCAAAAGTTAAGTTCATTAGCCAAACTTCAGGCTGTTCAAGGTTGCTAAGCAACATAGCAACTTGGCTAATTAACATGCATCAAATGTGGCTCATCCAATCAGAATTAAGAGTCAGAACAGAAAAGAAGCTTAAAGGTGCACTAATCAATTTCTGAGAAACACTGTTGAATGTGGATCGGACCAAGCACCAAAACACACTTGTAGCCAATCACCAGTAAGGGGGCGTGTCCACTCATGATGGGGGAGGTGCCTGTTGCCGGAATACATTACGTAACTTGTAAAATCTGAACAGATTATAGGCATAATATACCTGATGATTTTGTAGATGTTTACAGAGAAAAACCAAGCACTACGCGTCACTCACCAGCAGACTTTTAAGTCCATCTACATGCAACAAACTTGCCTAGAAACAAGCGCTTTGTTTCTAGGGGATGCATGACAAAATAAAAACAATATGTTTTAAATATCAAACATGTTTAATACCCTTCAGCTGAATGGCATCAAAGCTGGAAGCTAAAAAATCGGAGTCTGTACCATTCGTACACTACGTGTTTTTTTTTACAACTGACCAAATCCTCGTTGACTCGTTCAGACTGTAAATCGGGCCAAAAGTTATGTAGTGTTTTTTTAATAAAACAAGAAACACTCTAATTTATATAAAAGAAATGAGAAAACTGGAAAAGCCAGCTAAAAAATCGGAGTCTGTACCATTCGTACACTACGTGTTTTTTTTTACAACTGACCAAATCCTCGTTGACTCGTCCAGACTGTAAATCGGGCCAAAAGTTATGTAGTGTTTTTTTAATAAAACAAGAAACACTCTAATTTATATAAAAGAAATGAGAAAACTGGAAAAGCCAGACTTTTAGTTACTTTTAGTTGCTCTCCAATACTGTTAGATAGTCGTTGGTTTAGTCTGCAGGTAATAATAAAACAAACAATTTGACCATCTCTGGATTATGTTGTTTACAGGACTCTTGCTGTGTGCTGATCCGGCAGCCGTCTGCTACCTAAGCATGTGTCAACACACTTCACCTGAACTGGACACATCGAGGTCAGTAAAGAGCTTAGACAGCTCCAGTCAAACACCTCTAGATGAAGCCAGACTGAAGCTCCTGATGGTGGGCAGGTGTGTGTGTGTGTGTGTGTGTGTGTGTATTAAATGTATCCCTCATGTCTTACTGTAATCTTGGCCATGGTTGATTTCACAGCAGTGTAAATCAAAAAATGATTGTCCTAAAATTCAATATTTTGAAATGTATCCAATAACTTGCATAAACTCAAAAATATGAACATTATTAGCAATCAGTTCATTGACATTTTTTATAGTTTAAGTGTTTGTCTTACATGCTAATAATTGTCTGCATGAAACACACTGCGGTCAGGTTACTCTTGTTGCGTGTGAAGCCACATTTAGTCTGGTTCATATGATGCTCTTTGCAGTGGTGTCATTTTAGTATCATCGATAAACTAAATACTTTTTGTAAATATTCTGTTAGTTTATTTTAATAAGCCTGCTTTGCATAGTTTTGGTTTTCAAAAATGTCACACAACCTGTCCATGTTCACAAGCCTAATTTGACTAGCTTCTATCAAGTGACACATTTCCATTGATTGGACCGTATGCAGACTTAATTTGATTTGTTAAACCCTGGTGTTCCCGTGAAAAGCACATTACAAATACAAGCTCTTCTGGAGCTTATTAGGCCGATCAAGAATATATATTTTTTTATCAAGAATAAACCTCGCTTTAACAAAACAGAGCACACTGAATTTAATGAATTTAGTTATTAAATTAATATCATTCACCAGTCTGAATACTTAGCTTTAATAAGAGGTCTTAAAGGGATAGTTCACCTAAAAATAAAATTCTGTCAAAATGTACTCACCCTCAAGTTGTTCCAAACCCGTATGAGTTTCTTTCTTCTATTGAACACAAATTAAGATATTTTGAAGAATGTTGGTAACAAAACAGTTGCTGGTAGCCATTGACTTCCACAGTATGGAATAAAAATACAATGGAAGTTCATGGCTACCAGTAACTGCAACATTCCTTAAAGTATCTTCTTTTTTATTCAACAGAAGAAAAAAATCATACAGGTTTGGAACAACATGGTGAGAAACAGGGTGAGTAAATGATGACAGAATTTTCATTTTTGGGTGAACTGTCCCTTTAAATGAAATAATATCACAAAAATTTGGCCCCAAAATAGCAAATGCATGGCTCATTTTAATTACATCAAACACTGAATGACTAATATTAATGCATCCTGTTTAATAATCAGCAAATAAAGGTTACAGTCTAACTCTCCATTCTCTATTAAGTAAGAAATGTGACAATTCTGCTTTCAATTGAATCCATTAATGACTCTTAGTACTAGTGAAGAATGTGGTATATTTGTAGCAATAGCCAAAAATACATAGTAAGGGGCAAAATTATAGAATTTTCCTTTATGACAAAAATCATTAGGATATTAACTAAAGATCATGTTCCATGAAGATATTTTGTAAATTTCCTAAAGTAAATATATTAAAACTTAATTTTTGTAGTTATGCATACAAACAATGCATATTAGTAATATGCATTGCTAAGAACTTCATTTGGACAACTTTAAAGGCGATTTTCTCAATATTTGGATTTTTTTGCACCCTCAGATTCCAGATTTTCAAATAGTTGTATCTCGGCCAAATATTGTCATATCTTACCAAACCATACATCAATGGAAAGCTTATTTATTATGTATAAATCTCAATTTAAAAATATTGACCCTTATGACTGGTTTTGTGGTCCAGGGTCACATATCATTTTAGCAGAATAATGCAGTTATTCAACAACCATTAACACAGTGAATGTTAATCTGGTATTTTTTAAAAATGTAACTCTTCTGAATTCTGGATTCCCAACCCTATTCTTTGTACAGTGCGATCTAAATATAGCTCACTGCTTCTCTCTGGGCTGGATTTCCTCCTTGACTTCCTCTCATGGAGTCTCCAATATGAGGGAAGTACTTATACAGAAATAGAGACTGTATGGGCACTACATTCTGATGTACAGACTACAGTCTGATGGCGATGGGATGTTTCACCTACACAGATGCAAGCACTCACATTAGAGGTCTTCTCACCTTATTAATGAAAATGCCCTCTGAGCTCTGTCTGCTGTAGGGAGGAGTGGCGGAGTCTCGCGGGGAGGCGCGGGGAGAGGACGCCGCTGAGGAGCGAGAGGACAGAGAGCCCATCTCAATCGCCCTATCCTCCGTACATGGCAGATCGTGAAACTTCAGGAACTCTTCGGTGACCCGGTCCACCACCAGCAGCCTGGTGCGGTGCTCCACCTCCAGGATCCTCTGCACAACCTGAGAGACACACAGAATATAACACTCCCTAAAACATACCACTAAGTATTACCATGCGATTTTGGAACATGGTACGATATAGGCTACGGTTTGCAAACAAACTAATTTTATTGGAATGGAATTTTTTTTTGCAAAAAAAGTTTTGCAAGCGAATGTACATTTTGTCGTGGAAATGTAAAAGTTTAGCAAGAAAACAAAAGTTTTGCAAACAAATGCAAATTCTGAACAAAAGTTTTGCATGTGAAAGAAAAGTTTATTGGGGGAATGGAAAAATTTTGCACACAAAGTTTATTGGGGGAATGCAAAAGTTTTGCACATGAACGCAAAATTTATCAGGGGAACGCAAAAGTTTTGCTCGTGAACGCAAAGTTTATCAGGGGAACGCAAAACTTTTGCGCGTGAATGCAAAGTTTATCGAGGGAATGCAAAAGTTTTGCGCGTGAATGCGAAAGTTTATCGAGGGAATGCAAAAGTTTTGCGCGTGAATGCGAAAGTTTATCGAGGGAATGCAAAAGTTTTGCGCGTGAATGCAAAGTTTATCGAGGGAACGCAAAACTTTTGCGCGTGAATACAAAGTTTATCGAGGGAACGCAAAACATTTGCGCATGAATGAAAAGTTTATCGAGGGAATGCAAAAGTTTTGCGCGTGAATGCAAAGTTTATCAGGGGAACGCAAAAGTTTTGCGCGTGAATGCAAAGTTTATCGACAGAATGCAAAAGTTTTGCGCGTGAATGCAAAGTTTATCGACGGAATGCAAAAGTTTTGCGCGTGAATGCAAAGTTTATCGAGGGAATGCAAAACTTTTGCGCGTGAATGCAAAGTTTATCAGGGGAACGCAAAAGATTTGCGCGTGAATGCAAAGTTTATCAGGGGAACGCAAAAGATTTGCGCGTGAATGCAAAGTTTATCAGGGGAACGCAAAAGATTTGCGCGTGAATGCAAAGTTTATCAGGGGAACGCAAAAGATTTGCGCGTGAATGCAAAGTTTATCAGGGGAACGCAAAAGATTTGCGCGTGAATGCAAAGTTTATCAGGGGAACGCAAAAGATTTGCGCGTGAATGCAAAGTTTATCAGGGGAACGCAAAAGATTTGCGCGTGAATGCAAAGTTTATCAGGGGAACGCAAAAGATTTGCGCGTGAATGCAAAGTTTATCAGGGGAACGCAAAAGATTTGCGCGTGAATGCAAAGTTTATCAGGGGAACGCAAAAGATTTGCGCGTGAATGCAAAGTTTATCAGGGGAACGCAAAAGATTTGCGCGTGAATGCAAAGTTTATCAGGGGAACGCAAAAGATTTGCGCGTGAATGCAAAGTTTATCAGGGGAACGCAAAAGATTTGCGCGTGAATGCAAAGTTTATCAGGGGAACGCAAAAGATTTGCGCGTGAATGCAAAGTTTATCAGGGGAACGCAAAAGATTTGCGCGTGAATGCAAAGTTTATCAGGGGAACGCAAAAGATTTGCGCGTGAATGCAAAGTTTATCAGGGGAACGCAAAAGATTTGCGCGTGAATGCAAAGTTTATCAGGGGAACGCAAAAGATTTGCGCGTGAATGCAAAGTTTATCAGGGGAACGCAAAAGATTTGCGCGTGAATGCAAAGTTTATCAGGGGAACGCAAAAGATTTGCGCGTGAATGCAAAGTTTATCAGGGGAACGCAAAAGATTTGCGCGTGAATGCAAAGTTTATCAGGGGAACGCAAAAGATTTGCGCGTGAATGCAAAGTTTATCAGGGGAACGCAAAAGATTTGCGCGTGAATGCAAAGTTTATCAGGGGAACGCAAAAGATTTGCGCGTGAATGCAAAGTTTATCAGGGGAACGCAAAAGATTTGCGCGTGAATGCAAAGTTTATCAGGGGAACGCAAAAGATTTGCGCGTGAATGCAAAGTTTATCAGGGGAACGCAAAAGATTTGCGCGTGAATGCAAAGTTTATCAGGGGAACGCAAAAGATTTGCGCGTGAATGCAAAGTTTATCAGGGGAACGCAAAAGATTTGCGCGTGAATGCAAAGTTTATCAGGGGAACGCAAAAGATTTGCGCGTGAATGCAAAGTTTATCAGGGGAACGCAAAAGATTTGCGCGTGAATGCAAAGTTTATCAGGGGAACGCAAAAGATTTGCGCGTGAATGCAAAGTTTATCAGGGGAACGCAAAAGATTTGCGCGTGAATGCAAAGTTTATCAGGGGAACGCAAAAGATTTGCGCGTGAATGCAAAGTTTATCAGGGGAACGCAAAAGATTTGCGCGTGAATGCAAAGTTTATCAGGGGAACGCAAAAGATTTGCGCGTGAATGCAAAGTTTATCAGGGGAACGCAAAAGATTTGCGCGTGAATGCAAAGTTTATCAGGGGAACGCAAAAGATTTGCGCGTGAATGCAAAGTTTATCAGGGGAACGCAAAAGATTTGCGCGTGAATGCAAAGTTTATCAGGGGAACGCAAAAGATTTGCGCGTGAATGCAAAGTTTATCAGGGGAACGCAAAAGATTTGCGCGTGAATGCAAAGTTTATCAGGGGAACGCAAAAGATTTGCGCGTGAATGCAAAGTTTATCAGGGGAACGCAAAAGATTTGCGCGTGAATGCAAAGTTTATCAGGGGAACGCAAAAGATTTGCGCGTGAATGCAAAGTTTATCAGGGGAACGCAAAAGATTTGCGCGTGAATGCAAAGTTTATCAGGGGAACGCAAAAGATTTGCGCGTGAATGCAAAGTTTATCAGGGGAACGCAAAAGATTTGCGCGTGAATGCAAAGTTTATCAGGGGAACGCAAAAGATTTGCGCGTGAATGCAAAGTTTATCAGGGGAACGCAAAAGATTTGCGCGTGAATGCAAAGTTTATCAGGGGAACGCAAAAGATTTGCGCGTGAATGCAAAGTTTATCAGGGGAACGCAAAAGATTTGCGCGTGAATGCAAAGTTTATCAGGGGAACGCAAAAGATTTGCGCGTGAATGCAAAGTTTATCAGGGGAACGCAAAAGATTTGCGCGTGAATGCAAAGTTTATCAGGGGAACGCAAAAGATTTGCGCGTGAATGCAAAGTTTATCAGGGGAACGCAAAAGATTTGCGCGTGAATGCAAAGTTTATCAGGGGAACGCAAAAGATTTGCGCGTGAATGCAAAGTTTATCAGGGGAACGCAAAAGATTTGCGCGTGAATGCAAAGTTTATCAGGGGAACGCAAAAGTTTTGCGCGAGAATGAAAAGTTTATCGACGTTTTTTGAAAAGTTTATCGAAAAGTTTTGCGCGTGAATGCAAAGTTTATCGAGGGAACGCAAAAGTTTTGCGTGTGAATGCAAAGTTTATCGAGGGAACGCAAAAGTTTTGCGCGTGAATGCAAAGTTTATCAGGGGAACGCAAAAGTTTTGCGCGTGAATGCAAAGTTTATCAGGGGAACGCAAAAGTTTTACGTGTGAATGCAAAGTTTATCGAGGGAATGCAAAAGTTTTGCGCGAGAATGAAAAGTTTATCGAGGGAATGCAAAAGTTTTGCGCGTGAATGCAAAGTTTATCAGGGGAATGCAAAAGTTTTGCGCGTGAATGCAAAGTTTATCGAGTGAATGCAAAGTTTATCGAGGGAATGCAAAACTTTTGCGCGTGAATGAAAAGTTTTTTGGGGTAATGCAAGTGTTTTGCATGTGTACGCAAAGTTTATCAGGGGAACGCAAAAGTTTTCACGTCAACGTAAATGTTAATCAGGGGAACGAAAATGTTTACTGTACGAACACAAAGCTTATCGGGGAATACTAAAGTTTTGCAAGTGAACACAAAGCTTGGAAGAAAATGCAAAAGATTTAAACGTAATGTTCATTGTGGGAATGCAAAAGTTTTGTGAGCAAATGTAAAAGTGTTGATATTGAATGCAAAGTTTCTCTGGGAAACAAAGGCATTGAATTATAATTTTTCCTCCCTTTTATACCATCACCACGTCCCTTTAGACACTCCTTACCCTATAAAATCCATGGTATGAATATGAAGTCATTCAGCATGGTATTGCCATTTTATATAGGCTATTATCACAACAGTACTTTTATATAAAAATGTTTTAAGGTGGCATTAGACACTACAGTAAAAAGTAAACTTATTGCACCGTTTTAAGAGGCCCCGTATCTATTTATTATGGGTTTGCAGTGGTTTCCACGGTAGGCCTAAGTGTTTGTAAGGGTGGAGGAAGGCGAGACTGCAGTGTTTTCTTAACATCAACACACAATGATCCAATCTTAAACATTGCGCTGTTACCTGAGTGTGGAATATAACACACTGACTGTGTCTCAAAACATAGTGAGACCCCTATATAGACAGCACTGTGGGTCTCACGCGCGTTTTTGGAACATTCGGGCGCATTTGGAACGTTCATCAGTATGATTCACAAAAATGCTCGGTAGGCCTAAGTGTTTGTAAGGGTGGAGGAAGGCGAGACTGCAGTGTTTTCTTAACATCAACACACAATGATCCAATCTTAAACAAATACCCATTGCGCTGTTACCTGAGTGTGGAATATAACACACTGACTGTGTCTCAAAACATAGTGAGACCCCTATATAGACAGCACTGTGGGTCTCACGCGCGTTTTTGGAACTTTCGGGCGCATTTGGAACGTTCATCAGTATGATTCACAAAAATGCTGTCTAGGTAGGCAGCTCACTAGGTTGTGAGACACATCCCTGAGAAGTGGTCCGACAGGTTCTCCTCTCTCGTTACCTGCTGATGCGTCTCTCCCTCCACGTTCTCTCCGTTCACCTCCACCACCCGGTCGCCGGACCTGAGACCGGACAGGTCCGCGGGGGAGCCCGGCTCGATCCTGCGGATGTATTGCGCTCCTCGGTTGCATTCGCCGTGCAGATGAAACCCGTACCCGCGATCTCCTTTAGTCACATAACACAGCCGTGGACGGAGCTCCCGCTCCAGAATCTCTCGCTCCAGAGTGTTCGCCATATCCAGCTGCAGCCGTGTGCAATCACAACACAAATATAGCCTGCTCTATAATATTATAAGCTTGAGTAAAGTTTTGGCGGATGCATTATTCCACATGCTGAGTCTGTAGGCGTTGTTTCTTATTTATTTAATAGCACAGAATAAACGGAATGTAACAGAAAATATATATTTTTTTACAAGTTCAATATTAAAAATGTGATATAAGAATAAAAAAAAATTAAACAAGCTAAATAAAACCCAAATAAACGCCTTACGTGCGCAAAACCGTGTCCTCCGTTTGTTGTAAAAAATCGTTCACTTCAATTCGTGTTAAAAATAGCTCTTTACTCGAGCGTGTCTTCCACTAAATGACTCTCTCTCTCTCTCTCTCTTCATAACAGTCCAATAAGTTCAGTAGCCGTTCCTCCAGCCCAGCTTCCGTCAGTCGTTCACACTGTTAAAACGACACGCATTCTTCTTATAATGCATACCAATACGATAAAGCAGTAATAGTGTGGCTCTTGAGTTCAATATGTGCGCACGGAACGCATCAGGGTGCGAGTGCGAGACAACAGGTGTTAGAGGATGAGACCGACCGGAGGAACTGTGAAGTGTGTGTGTGTGTGGATTGGAGAGATCAGATGTTGGATAAGTCACAGATATCCATGCGGAACTCTTCCTCTTCACGTGTGTTTTATGGACAGATCTGGGATCAGCTCATCTAACCCACACTGATTCAGTAATAGACACACAGCTGACCTGCAGCAGGGATGATCGACTGCTGTGTGCATTTAAAACAGGCCAGATCGCCCACACGCTCTGCTGCAAATCTGCTGGACACTAAAACACAACAATTAAACCATTGAGCTAGAAAACAGTAAGGATACAATGAGTCCAATTGATGCATAACGCTAAATGCACTGTAATCTGATCAGAGACTGGGATCTGGTGCTTTTCTCATAAATGTGTGTGTGTGTGTGTGTAAGTATTTACTTTTTTTTGGCAGTTCTGCCCTCTAGTGTTGACAACAGTTGAGGCTTGAATTAAATCAAGTTTTCAAAATGAAACCACATGTAGTGAATACTGCCTAGAAAAAATATGAATCCCCAAAAATATGAAGGAGCACAGCTGTGTTCAACATTGATAATAATCAGAAGTGTTTCTTGAGCAGCAAATCAGTATATTAGAATGATTTCTGAAGATCATGTGACACTGAAGACTGGAGTAATGATGCTGAAAATTCAGCTTTGATCACAGGAATAAATGAGTTTACGATATATTAAATTAAAAAAAAGTTATTTTAGCCTTGGTAAGCATCATTTCTTAGAAAAAAACCTTGAGCAGCAAATCAGTATATTAGAATGATTTCTGAAGATCATGTGACACTGAAGACTGGAGTAATGATGCTGAAAATTCAGCTTTGATCACAGCAATAAATGAGTTTACGATATATTAAATTAAAAAAAGTTATTTTAGCCTTGGTAAGCATAATTTCTTTAAAAAAAACAAGTCCAATAAATATAATGCATAAATATTAAGGTAGTACACTAATATGCAATTCTGTATTGTACTGTGGGCACACTCACACACACGTAGAAATGATAGTATACGGTTCTGAACAATGTCATTTAATGTAAAACTAATACCGAACACTAACACTTTTATGTTTTCCATTTCAGTTCCAATTTATTTGATAGAAAACCTACAAAACGAATCAAAGTGACATTTGTTTTGCATTTACACAGTACTTTGTTGAAACTGATTCTAAGTCTCTGCTGTCCTTTGTGTGTGGTGTGAAGACTGAGGTCTGTGCTGTTGTGCTCCTGCTCTCCCTTTCCTCCTGCTTCTCTTTTTAAGGACAGATGGAGCGTCTTCTTCTGATGTCAGCTGTTCTTGTACCTGGTGTCCTGGCACTTCCTGTTTGGCTGTGTTCTTGCTCCTCTGAGACAGGGATGCATCCGCTGGCTCTTCTTTGACCTGTGCTGTTGGAGATGCTAGTTCGTCATCGGGACCGTTAATGGCAGGTTTTGCAGGGCTGGATTTGAGCTTCTTTGGAGACGATCGGTGGGCGGAGGGACAGGTGTGCTGATTGAGACACACGGAGCACAGCGGAGCAACAGGCAAACACACCTGCTGCCCGAAACCAACCAGCAACCAGTTGATCTCACTCCACAGATCTCTGTGAGAAGAAAGAAGACGGGGCAGCAATATGATTCAGAACAGACAGACACGGTGTAAAGCCAAAATATCAATTTCCGCCCTACCGATTCCTGACACCTGGTTCCAGGCGATGTCCATGGCCAGGTGGGCCATCTTGGGGCCGACGCCCGGCAGACGCATCAGACCCTCCACTGTGTCAGGAATGTCTCCGCCGCACTCCTGCTGGATCAGAGCCGTGGCCTGTTTGATGTACTTCACCTTTGTCTGAGAAGAAGTCTGTGAGTTTTTGATTGCTCTGATTATACATACATGTATTTGAACACATAAGAGTCATTTACCCTCCAGAAGCCCACGGGGTAGATGAGTTTACCCAGAGTCTCATCGTCCAACTCGAGTACGGCGTCCACACTGAGCTCACGCTCACGTAATCTCTGCATAGCGCCAGCCGTCACGTGATCTTTCGTTTGACGACCCCTTTAAAGGAAGGTTTGAAATGTTTAAGAACGTAGGATGTTGCAATGGTGTTCCAACTGGTTGCAAGAATGTTCTTTGATTTTTCATAAACCATTATGGGAAATCTGTATGTCTGCTTGGGTAGAGAAGTTGCAGCAATATGATTCAGAACAGACAGACACGGTGTAAAGCCAAAATATAAATTTCCGCCCTACCGATTCCTGACACCTGGTTCCAGGCGATGTCCATGGCCAGGTGGGCCATCTTGGGGCCGACGCCCGGCAGACGCATCAGACCCTCCACTGTGTCAGGAATGTCTCCGCCGAACTCCTGCTGGATCAGAGCCGTGGCCTGTTTGATGTACTTCACCTTTGTCTGAGAAGAAGTCTGTGAGTTTTTGATTGCTCTGATTATACATACATGTATTTGAACACATAAGAGTCATTTACCCTCCAGAAGCCCACGGGGTAGATGAGTTTACCCAGAGTCTCATCGTCCAACTCGAGTAAGGCGTCCACACTGAGCTCATGCTCACGTAATCTCTGCATAGCGCCAGCCGTCACGTGATCTTTCGTTTGACTGGACAGCATTAAGGAGATCAGCACCTGGTAACGACGCACCTGAGAAAAGAACCGAGAATTTTGATTGGCTGTCGGTTACCTCAGGTGATCTGCGATTGGTTCTCGCTCACCTCAGGCGGGGCCTCGGTGTCGTAGCATTTCCCTGCTCCCATTTGGTCCACGGGGGCATCCCGTTTGCTCCTCATCTCCCTGATGAATGACAGTTGTGTTCTCCAATCAAACGGCTCCCAGCGCTCCCTCTTTAGCTCCGCCCCTTCTTCCTCCTCCTCCTCATACTCCACCTTCACACGGCCCCGCCTTGGTTTTCTAGGTGACGTCAAAGAGGCTTGCTCATCCACTGCTTCTTCTTTCACTTTTGTGGTTGGGTTATTGCAACTTGCCACAGTCTCTGTACAAAAAAAAAAAAAAACTATTAAAACAATATTCAAACACATGCATAAATTATATAAAAATATATAATTTAATTCATAATTCAGAAAAAACATAACCCTTTTTTTTTTTTTTGTGTATATATATATATATATATATCAGCCTACAGACCCTCTTATGTGGTTTTTTTGGATCTCCAGCTCCAGGAAGTTTGAAGTATCTCTTATTTCTCATTCAGAGTCTCTCGCAGGAGTGAAGATGAATAAACAGCCCAGTAAAGAGTCTCTGCGGGACCGACTCAACGGGTTCTTTGGCATCGGTTCGACTCGGCCCCACAGCAAACAGACCGAGAGCAAACCGTCAGAGTTCATCATCACGCTGGACATCCTGATGGTCAGAAACGCTCCAATCAATCATTCCCGTCATCGATATTGTGTCTCTCATGTAATCTCTCTCTTCCTATCCTTCAGCAACTCACTCCAGAGTACAACCTCCACCACCGGATCAGAGTCATCAACCACGTGTGCGACCTCGCCAAATCTAAGAAGTTTGAGGAGGTGAGAGCATAGAGAAGCATCTGCCTGCTCCTGTATGTGCAGATGAGCTGATCTACAGTGTGTTGTGTGTGTTTCAGCATGCGGTGGAGAACGTTTGGAAGGCCGTGGAGGACATGATGCAGCCTGAACAGCCGCCTGAAGCCCGTCATGCAGTGCTGGTGCTGCTGAGAGCCATTATACAGGGACAGGTGCACATTTCGAACACCTTACGAACCACAATGCAACATGGTGGCAAACACCACTCACGCTTTCCTCATGATCTTCTTGTGCAGGGTGAGTGCTTGGGTCCGCGCAGAGCCTACTTCTTTAAGATCGTTTTGGATTATCAGCCCTGTAATGAAGATCTGGCCGAGAGACTGGAGGTGTTCAAGGCCCTCACGGAGAACGGGAAAGACATCACCTACCTAGAGGAGGAGATCGGTATGGATCACACATGCTGGTGTTCTTTAAAGGGGTCCTATTATGCTTTTTCACTTTTTCAACTTTAGTTAGTCTGTAATGTTGCTGTTTGAGCATAAAAAAGATCTGCAAAGTTACAAAGCTCAAAGTCCACTTCAAAAGGAGATAGTTTATTTAACAGAAATCACTTTTCAAAAACTACAACAAATGACTCGTTTGGACTACAACGCATATTTTCCAGGATTTGTGATATCACAAATATCAACGAATGGGACGAGACCTGGTTGAGCTGCACTAGAGAAGGCAACGAGTGTTATCACTATGTTGGAGACACGCTAGCTTTCCCAAGGCAGACGAACTTAGAGTGGTTACAATCATCGGAGTTTAAATCGCGCTCAAATTGATTTGATATTGACGCAATATTTATGGTAAGAGGCGTGACATTTCCCGACCAGGAGCCGAGTGCTGCCAATCACAGCACCCACTGGCCCGGCTAACCAATCACAGCACCCACTGGCCAGGCCAACCAATCACAGCACCCACTGGCCCGGCTAACCAATCACAGCACACACTGGCCCGGCTAACCAATCACAGCACATTTCGTATTTCATTTGCATTCATTTGATACAGGAACTATTCGAGCCCTTCATGCCAGACTGGGGAGAGAGGTGTTGTAATCATGTAAATTATGTGAAAAATAATGTGTTTTCTGAACAACCTAGTATGAGATCCTGTTCTATTACACCCCCAAAACAAAATCAAGACTTTGTAAAAAAAAAAAAAAAAACAGAATAGGACCCCTTTAAGGGATCGTTCACCCAAAACTGAAAATTCTGTCATTATTTATTCACCCTCAAGTTGTTCCAAACCTGTATGAGTTTCTTTCTTTTCTAGGCACAAAATAATATATTTTGAAGAATGCTGAAAACCAAACAGTTGTCGGTTGCCATTCACTTCCATAGTATAGGAAAAAATACTATGGATGTCAATGGCTACCGGCAGCTGTTTGGTTTTCAGCATTCTTCAAAATATCTTCTTTTGTGTTAAAGAGAAGAAAGAAACTCATTTACTCAGCCTCATGTATTTACTCTCCTGTATGACTTTCTTTCTCCGACCTGTGAAACACAAAAGAAGATAGGTAACAAATGTCGGAGCTGCGGTTTTCTATATAATGAATGGTTTGTTTAGCGTCACACGCAGAGTGTAATGTGTGTTTGTGTGTGATTTCTCTCTTAGCTCGGTTCGTCTTGCTGTGGATGGACATCGGTCTGTCATCAGATTTCTTGCATGTCCTCGTGAACTTGGTCAAATTCAACTCCTGCTACCTGGATGAGAACGTCTCCCTCATGGTCCAGTAAGAAAACACACGCAAATGATCTTACGTTTCTCATTACCTTTTGAAAGCTTCTGCTTAAATGCTTGAACTTTGACGTGTAGACAGATATATATATATATATATATATATATATATATATATATACACTTTATTTCAAACG